CAAATAATTGTTAAATTATTACATTAAATACATATTGTCATGGTGAGAAGTGTATTCATCTACTTAAATCTTGCAGTTTAATCTACATTGTAATTTACATTTTAAACTAAAAATAGTCATGTCACATGAAAGTGCGTGACTACGTTGCTGGCACTGAAAGGCTGCATGTTCTTGTTTGTATCTGTGTATGTCTGTATGTAAGCAAAAAATAATAAATAAATAAATTATACGATTGCTTTTTTACAAAACTATGACAATGTACCGTATTTTCCGCCGTACACGTCTTTCTGCCCTATAAGTCGCATCAGCCCAAATATGTCTAATAAAGTGGAAAAATCCATAAATGTGTTGCTTCGCCGCATAAGTCACATATATTATGCTTCACCGCTGATGCGTTGCATTTGTTACGCGTCACCTCTGACAACCCGGAAATGTGGGCCGGTGTTGTGCCAAAAATCGATTGGCTTCCAAATGGCGGCCACCGGAGCATGCACGAGGGGACTTCAACAAGAATTTAACACGAGTAACACTTAAAAACAATTATTTGTTTGCTCGAAATTATAGTAAAGGTGTGTCTCAGTTGAACTTTTACTTAATAAATGCACTTCGATGGTCAAATCGGCTTCATTTCGCTGGGGCGGTGCAGCGAAATGAAGCCGATTTGACGGTTGCTCCAAGCGAGCAGAACGAAGGTGGCAGACTATGGCAAGCCGATTGTGTCATTAATAGCTGCTGAAGATTCTCAGTCATCCAGGACATGGTAAATTCAAAAAAGTTCAAGACAAAAATAATAAAGTATAATAAATAAAGTCCAGTTGTTTTTGTCTTTAACTTTTTTGAATTTGTCATTAGAGCCACGTTTACCTATTACATGATACAATGGCATGCCTTACTACTCAAGTGCCATCTAGCGGCTGAAAATGGTAGTGTTCCATTTTTTCAGTCAGAATGGATGAAAACGGTCATATCTCTGCCAAAAATTGGTTTATAAATATGGGGGGAAAAGATAAACGCTTTGCTACAGAGTATAAGTCGCAAGACATGCAAATTATGCAAAAAGAAACATTACTTATAGGGCGAAAAATACGGTAATCATAGAATGCATAGCTAAAACATGTTGATTTTTGGAATTAAAAGTGATTCAAAATGGTCACTACAGCTAAATAACCTTAAACACAAAAATGGGTAGAGCTCGGTCAATTTTAAAGATGGTGAGCTAAAGTTTGGTGTGGTAGTAGCTGAGAGTCCTCCCCAACACTTGTGACTACATGAGTACTACTCATCCCTGTTCCATACAATCATTGGACGTATATCTAAACCCAATATTCTTCAACCTAGGTTGAAAAGATGTAATCACAGGAGAATCAAACAGGAGTAAGGTATAAGTTATAGCTACTGTCATCCATTGCATGAAAACAAAAGTAGCAACAAGCAGACCCCCCCTCACCCCCCAGCAACAGGAGATGAGCACCATGTCCTAATGGGATGGATTCATTAGAGAGGCAGATGAATCAAAGATTTTGCCAAGTTAGCAATTATCCATCTCCTCGTGTACAGAGGTCATTAGGGCCTCATGAGCGATTGGAGGCCATAAATAAATGATCAGTAAATAGCACACTCTACACAGCAGAGACCGCTTCCAAGTCTGAAAAACCACCCCCCTCCCCCCAATCATCAACATCTGACATAGATTCTTCCATTTTGAGCAAAAGATGAAGCTGAAAAAGTCATTTGCGTAAAAGATTAGAGGAACTTTTATCACATTGCTTATAGATTACAAGCTGAATCACTGGAAGAGAAAGACCCGCTTTTAAGCAATTCCTTTTATTTTTTCCTTCAAAAATTGCAACGAAGGACCACCAGAGCTTTCCAAACAGCACAAAGGTAGGAAAATGTGCTCCTAACAGCAGAGTCCACAAAGAAGACCTTAAATGCGCCAAAGAAAACAACAGTTGTGTGTTTTTTTTTTAAGTCTTTGCAATGTTGCGTCTGAGGTGGTCCTCGAGGATAAGACCCCAGAGAGTGCACTGTAAGAGCAGAGGATTGCCAAATGTTTGCACATTTCAGGAATATATTTGTGCTGCCCACTGGGAGACAATCAGCACACAATTCCCTCCCAGGAGGGTAACAGAGATAAGATAGTGCCTAAAATGGATTTTACACTCCTCTGACAGAGGCTTGTTTACAAAAGCCTAACTTATTAAGGCTTTTGAAAAACCCAAACTTCCACAAGCTGCAGGGGACAAAAGTAGCATGGCTCAGCTTCGGGTCCCCCCCACCTCCACCACCAAACAAGACCTAGTGAATTCTTTGAGCCGCAGATCTGCCAGCTTTGATAAAGATAAGCCCTGGCCACAGTCAGGACCTCCAAAAATGTGCTTTGAATAGACAGATATTTTCAGGGAAGGGGACCCTCACAATTAGTAACGTGAGACTCTCTGCATGCGGGTCCCAGTCCAATTCTCTGGAATCAATCAAAGCTCCCAAAGGGACTCCCTGGACCCCCTTAATCTCAAGGTTTTATTACGTTCCAGACAGTCAGCCCGTTTCACCCTACCCCCCATTTCTCTTTTGTACTGATCTCCACCAAAGCCAAGGAGTTTTTCCCCCCTTCTCTCTCTCCATCTCCTCCACTACAGCAGAGCACTTTTCATTCAGGAGAGGGTCTTTCATCAGGCTCCACATGCAAAAGAGTCCAGCAGCTAGCAGAGGCCCCATCATGCTTTCAATTTTTTAGTTTCAGTTTGACAGTATAGTCATTTTGCTCATCACAGGAATAAGGCGAAAAAATCTGGGCCACGTCGCACAACAGTCACAGATATTTTCCAGACCACATGCTGCTGTGCCTGATTGTGCCTTCCAGCTCAAATGACGAAGATGTGACTTTGTCAGGAATACAGAGGGTGCGTGTGTGTGATCATTTCTTCAATAACTGCTTGTTAATCATGACTATCCACTTTATCTGGAGCAGACGAACGGAGAGCTTCTAAACAGGCTGTGTGTGTTTGCAGAAAGTCGTTCTTATCAAGGGTGCAAATGCATATTCATGTACCGGTACTCTGATTACTTATCCGTTGGTGATTATTGTCCATTTTTACGCTCTGCAGCTTTAAAGAACATGCAAATTATACATCACAAAGTGATCTCGATCTGGAGTAGTAGTGTGCCAGGACTTTTAGTAGCGGTATATCGCACATTATCGAAGTTGGCATAAAACTAAAGAGGACTTCCCCCAAACACGACGACGGGATTTTGAATAAACAAGTGAGAAAGAACATTTTGGAGCGCCAAAACTCATGTATACTTCACAATAGGAACTTTGGGTCACAGAAAGGTGGACTTTTGACAACTAAACTAGCATTTTGATATATTTAAACAGTGTTTGTACAATCGCAGTTTGTTTCGTTATCTTTTTTCCCCCACTTAACTTCACAGTGAATTTTGAGCTGCCTAACTTTCCAAAAATTTGCCAACTCCTACAATCCTTTTAGCACACCGTATCTAAACGGGTATTGTCTTCTTTCACCGGCGGCTGTGGCTGAATGGTTAGAGCAGTCGTCCTCCAATGGGAGAGATGGGGGTTCGATTCCACCAGCAGTCACACGCCTAAGTGTTCCTGGGCAAGACACTGAACCCCTCATTGCATCTGATGTGTGTCCCATCGGTGTATGAATGTGATCTAAAGCACTGATTATTCTTTGTATAGATCTAGTAGAGTGCTGTATGAATGGGTAAATGAGGACACAGATTGTAAAGAGCTTTGAGTATCCTGATAAGATAGAAAAGTGCTATACAAGTACAGTCCATTCACCGTTTACTGTATCTCTCACCTCTACTTAATGTAATCTTTATTCCAATCAGAGTGCAGCTAACTAACCTCAGCTTTCATATCCTTCAGCTATATTTTTACTCAACTTCTCTTTTGTCTTCTAAACTGGCCCGTACCTCTCCCATAAAACGCTAGAAACGTAAATTTAGTGGCGCAACCTTCATTCGTTCTTCTCTCAGTTTAAGAATTTCAAAGAAACAACTTGCCGTTTTCTTACAGGGACTTTGCTGAACTTTTCTCACAGGTTTGCCGCTGCTGTCGTCACGCCGTATTGTTTTACATTATTAGCGTTTACCAAACATCTCAGCTCTTTTAAGTGCACCGCTTGGCGTTCGTATAGCGTACTTCTCGGATCCTTGTATACCGTTTCTTTTTATACTTTATATTTCTGCTATTTTGGGGGGTGTAACTGGGACTCCCGAGTACACGAGTCCACCTCATGTACATGTGATGCGAATGACAGTAAACTTGGAACTTACAGTTTTTTTTACACAGGAAGTTTGCTTGAGGCTTACTTTTTAGTTCCTGTCTGCCTGTCTTAAAGAGAGTAGCCCACAGACACAGGTGTGATGCACCACCTTTGCATGAGCTGGAACACTTCTTTTGATGTCTCTCTCTCAAACATGGACATTTGCTGTTTGTTTTTTCTCTCAGGTTATTCCAAACATTCAGCACACCTGCAGAAATGTCCCAGCTGCTTCCTAATCTTTTACCCCCCCCCCCCCCCCCCCCCAATATTAAAAGTGCCCTCTCCTCATAACACCTAACAGAGGCAAATGGATCGTGTTTATCCATCTGCTGAGCTTGTATTGACGCCCAGGTAATGAGATGTCTGAGGGTCTGATGGTGCAGGCCTATTATCGGACACTGATCACTCATGACTCTCTGCTTCGAGGGTTCTGGATCCTTTGCAACCACAGCTCATATTAAAATTAATAATAATAATAATAATAATAAACACTTCTACACGAATGAGCTCCATGGTTTGTTTGGGAAAGCCCCGTGCTCAGACAAAAGGACGGAAGGGACGCTTGTTGCTCTCCTGGTTCCACCAGGGCGTCAGAAGAAGTGGCCTGCTTGTAAAGTTATCTGACGCTCGGCTCGTTGTTCGTCTTCACCCCCACTCGTTGTGAACGCGGGCAGGCCTCCGGTGGAGTTAGTGGTTTTTTACCTTTGTCGACATGTTTTGCGGCGGTGGTCTCCGAGCAGAGGAAGGTGAGCCACAGAAGAGAGAGGAGCCACAGAGCTCCCCGCTCCGCCATCACTTTCCTCACAAAGAAATCTCTGCAGGCTTCTCAAAGAAGAACCCCCTCCACCACCACCACCTCCTCCTCCTGGGAAACGAATAAAAAAATAAAAAGAATAATCCTTTTAAATTTAAAATCCGTCCTCCTCCTCCGCCCCCCACCTCCTCCTCCAAAATGCACCCAAAAAAAAAAAAAAAAAGTTCAAAGTCCTAAAATGTGCAGAAACATCCGGAGGCAGGTCGTTTGAAAGCCATGCAGCTGGAAGGAGAGCCGCAGGTTGGACACTGTTCCGTCAACTTGACGAAGCAGAAGAAAAATCAATCCATGGTCACGGAGAAGGAGCCTTAAAAACGGTTTGCGCACCGGCAAAGAGAACGGTCCAGTCTCAGCCGAGCGCTCCGGAGAACAGAAGGAGCTCCGTTGGTGGAGGTGCGGCGGGTGGGGTGGGTGGGGGGGTTAGATCCGAGCAGAAGGAGGAATCAGCGCCGTGGTCAGCTCGCTGCTCCGCGGACGGGACGTGAGAGAGAGCGCCGTGTTGAAGAGCTCGTGCCTCTCCCGCGGCTCCCCGGAAAACAGGGGGCGGAGCCTGACGGAGGTTTGGATCCTGGCCGCCCGGTGCGCGCACTGCGCATGCGCCGACTAAAACCCAGCCTGGGACTTCTTCACGCAGCCCAGAGGAGTTCATACCTGCAGTTTGATTTCACCTCACTCGTGTCTTCTGCACTAATCCCAGAACAAAAGGATTTAAAAGGACTCCGAGCAGTAAATATGACGTAATATGTATTTATACTAAAGTCGTGCATTACATTTGCTGCTTATATTTAAGTTATTTAAGTTAAGAGTTATCCATTTTGTTCTGTTACTTGAAAATTATTATGATTGAAATAATTGTTTGGAAAAAAAAGGGGCAGATATAATAAGATTTTTTCTTCTTTCTGCTGCCTTTCATTTTAAATCTCTTGTATTTTTTTTTTATATTGTTATGGAATTGTTTTGTAATTTTTTTTAATGAATAAACTTTATACCATACCAAGTTAAAAAGAAATATATTACCAGACCATACCACTTTATTTATGAAGCACTTTAAAACAGCAACAAGGCAAAGTGCTGTACAGCAACAACAAACAGGCAAAGAATATTTATTAAAAAAAACATAGATCACACAGAGGTAAAGATAAAAACTAAATAGTTAACATTATAGAATATACAAGTATACTTATTTTACACTAAAAATGAGGAAGTGTACTTGAAGTTTACTTTTATAAACTTTATTTGATATATCCAACATTTTTCAGTCAGGTCATCTGGACAGTTTTGTTTTTTATTTTTTTGTGCTGAAATGTTTCGCCTTCAATCCAGAAGGCTTCATCAGTCAAGGAAACACAACAAAACTGATTCTTCTCCCAACAGCTTACTCCAAAGTGGAACAAACCAGTTCAGCTTGTGCTAAGATGGTCTCTTTGGTACAACCCTCCTCCATTGCTGGCCCTCTTCCTTGTTGACGGTCTTGTCAAGCTGGTTGAAAACAACAAAGTCCATGCTCAATAATCCAGGTATAAAATCCAACATTTTTCAGATTATTGAGCACAGACTTTGTTGTTTTCAACCACAAGCAGAACTGGTTTGTTCCACTTTGGAGTAAGCTGTTGGGGGGAAAAAACAGTTTTATTGTGTGTTTCCTTGACTGATGAAGCCTTCTGGATCGAAGGCGAAACGTTTCAGCACAAAAAAAAAAAATAAATAACTGTCCAGATGAAACTAACTGAAAAATGTTGGATTTTATACCTGGATTATTGAGCACGGACTTTGTTGTTTATTTAATATACTATTAATAGTATAAAATGTCCCAATTTAGTCCAAACACGTATTAAATCAGTATACTTTCTAGTACACTACAAGTATGGTGTGTAGTACTTGATATACTTAAAGTATACTTGCAAAAATGAACTTCAAATGTACTACTTTTTGTTAAGGGAAAAAAATCAGACAAACTGAACAACCCATCCATCCATCCATTTTCTTTACCCGTTTGTTCCATTTTGGGTCACGGGGGTCGCTGGTGCCCATGTCCAGCAATCACTGTGCGAGGGGCGGGGTACACCCTGGACAGGTCGCAAGTCCATCACAGGGACACATAGAGACAAACGAGACAAACAATCATTCACTCTCTCACTCACACCTAGGGACAATTTAGAGTTACCAATCAGTCTAACATGCATGTTTTTGGTCTGTGGGAGGAAACCGGAGCACCCGGAGAAAACCCACGCATGCACGGAGAGAACATGCAAACTCCACCCAGAAGGCACCTGGACCGGGGTTTGAACCAGGGACCTGCTCACTGAGAGGCAGCAGCTCTACCAGTTGCGCCACCGTGCTGCCCCAAACTGAACAACACTTTGCAAAATTAACTGAAATAAAAACAGAGAGCAATGGACGGCAAGCCCTACACACTGGCGCCATCTTGGATTTTAAATCCTTTATGTTTTAACGTTAGAAAGTAAAAAAACACTTTAAACACTTTAATGTTTCTGTTTAGATCTTATTGTTGGT